CGGCGAAGAGTCCAAGACTTGATATTATTGTAATAAATGTTTTAATTGTATTTTACATGTACTACATGTCAAATTGTATACTGTACTACATTTCATAATTGGTTTTTAACTTAAACGCTTCAAAGTTGAAACATTTTAAGCTGTTTTGATAGAGTTTAATACTAGATAAAAACGGATACAAAACTTACATCTGAAAGCCCAGGTCTCCTGCGCTCGGATGGCTTGTCCCACACGAGCCAATGCTGTCATACAATCTGACGGCAGATCAATGTAGAAGAGAAACTCCGAGAGTCGCGGCGCCACCCGTTTCATGATTGGGTCCAGTTTTTTGGTCACATTCTTCTGGAACTGATCCAAACGCTTGAATTTGACGATACTCTCGGAAAATGTGAACGACTTTTGCGTAAAATCCAGTTTCTTTCCCTCTTCGTAGTCATCGGGCATTAAAAGTTGGCTGTAATGGTCGACAAACTCATCCACAGAGCATTCCTCATCGTCTTCGTCGTCGCCTTCATCGTCGTCTTCGTAGTCGCCGTCGACATCGTATCCAATGTCACCATCGGTTCCGTTCGCCGATTGGTTGACAGCAAGACTTGAGTTGTTGTCCAATTGGTAATCAGAGTTATCTAACGGTATAAGTATTAGTGAAAGGACCGATAATTAATGACACTACATACAATATTTATTATCATTACACTAGGACTAATTAAAATTTTACGAGTAATATTTACAACAATTTTTGATGAGATAAATGATCATTAGCTGATGAAATAAATATGTCTATTATTATAGATGGAAAGTAAATTTTTATTTAAAATTAATATTTACTTTAAGTGTTATAACATAAAAAATATTACAAAATGCGAGCTGAAAAATGTATGAAAAATTTCCACCAAAATTATAATTTTTACCCTCATTACAGTCAAAAACATAAAAAATCATTTCACATAATATGATGGTTATTTTTAGTTGACAGTATACATTAAACAATAACTATTTTGCATTTCCTCGTGAAAAACCTATTAAGAAAGTGATTGAAAATAAATATGTAATTTTGTAAATAACACTTACAATGTTTTATCTAAAATTCATTTATAACACAATTAGCCTATAATGAGGTAAATTTATGCAATAAAAGTTATTGTAATCCCTAAATGTTTGTTAATTGCAGTAGACTGTAATTTTAGAGGTTACATTAAAACTTGTGTAATTTGTCCATCAAATAACATTGATCTTGATATAAAGATCAATGTTCAACATCTTTACATTTCCAATAACTAATATTTTTATAAATTTTTATTAATGGTGATTTTGGACACTTATTTTGCTACAGTACAAGGGTAATATTTGTATATTTAGTTTTGTTTACCAGTGCATAATTTAAAACATTTATTGATAAATAAAATATCATAACAATAAGGCCTTTATTAAAGCAAAAACAATTATAATAAAAATTAATATTTAATTAATTATTATTTTATAGAAAGCTTAACAGATTTTAAATGTATAATTAATTTATATTAATCTAAACAAAACTTAACTGTATTTTAACATAACGATAGTATTTGTTTTTCACATTCTATAAACAATTTTCTCTGAATTATGGTGAATGACATTCAAATTAACGATGTCTTCAACAGATATTATTGATAATCCATTTTTAGCATTACTTTCGGCCAAAATATCTTTATTATGGGTATTCTTGGCGTCCAATCCCTCCTCATTGACCACTGCTTTGGGGACGCGTTGTGGCGGACGAAGCAATGCTGTGGTCATCGCCGCAAACGGACGGCTCACCAGAAAACCGGTGATCACTCCAATCACATAACTAAACACGAAGTCTGCCATCGCTGACGACCACTAGATTTATATTATTATTAAAAAATATAAAAAAGTTAGTAAAAATATTATACTATAAATGAAATTTTTCCTACAATATAATATTCATTGTATGTCCGGTGCTCTCTTTGCACACCAATCCTATAGACAAACACAAACGCGTGCATCTGTTTAATGATAATTATAAATCTATATTTGTAATTTAATTTTTATAAATATCAAGCCATACAATATAGATTTCGAGCGACATGTTATCTACTATTTTAAACCCTTTCCAACCGAGTATTTCAGAAAAATAACCTAAAATATAATTTAATTAAATTAATCGTTACGACAGTATTAATTAGTATCGATGCAAACCTCCCCTTCCGGTGGACGTGGCGTATATAAGCCATGCAAACCACGACAGATTATGCCCGAATACTTATCAGTTTATCTCTTCAACAAGCGGGAGACGCATAACTTTAGGTCCCTTTTAGTAAAAAGCGACGGTTATGTACACTGGGTTTCATTATGTACGCCACGGTTTGGTATCCTATAGATGACCAATAGTGCCGCCGAGATATACGTTGGGTCGATAGCGTACAGCGCAGGCCAATAGCATGCCTATAATGAATGTCTGAATGTAATTGATCGGGCCCCAATAGTGTGTACTCCAGCCCAACATGATTTCTCGGAGGTTTGGATGGCTCGTTATCTCGTACACATGTAAATGACCAAGCACAAATTTGTAAAACACAGGTAGTCCGATTGCTACAAATAAGAGGCCGATTACCATATACACTCCTTTACTGCCGAACCGATACAACAGTATAAAAGCTATGGGTGCCATAGCGTATAGTTGGAAGTCCATCGATGAGTACCTAGATCATATTAATCAGTTTATATTTATAACTACATTAAGAAATTATGTAACTAATATAATATCAGTAAATCATATTGTGCATTTTGTAATAGTGTTTAAATACATACCATGTTATTGTCAAACACTGTATGGAAATGAATAAACAAAAATTTGATTATAGTTTATAATAATTTTAATAACTATGAATTTATAGTAATAACAGACGTTTAGTGATGATAATATAGTTGTGTTTTCATTTGGATAATAAAGCATATTATTAATCATTAAGAGAGGCTTATGCCACTTGTCATAACAAGGCTCTACTAAATAAACAAGAACCACTTTCCATAATGGACCTAGAAACAAAGTGGACTCATAAGAATTAACATGGTAATATTAAAATAAGCTTACAGTTATACAGTTACCTGAACCGGTAAATTCAAATATAAATGTACACATCAAAGCAAATATGATGATTGGCAATAATCTCATGTATCTATAAATTATATTTATTATAATACACTATTAATTACTATATTAAACGTGTTATAATTATAAAATACCTGAATAACAAATAATTTATATAATTGAATTGGCCTTTACTTTGTTTAAGTCGTGAGTAGTAACATAACGTATTATGTTTAGGATATTAACACCATTTAATACGTAATTTTTATTATATGTTACTTTGTTTATTTTTATTTATGGACATTACTAGTATTTTAACAGGTACTCGTTTTATAATCCAAAAATCATATTCCTATAGTCGTGGATCATCTTATGGGATGAGCCGAGAAAGTAGTTTTTATTGTTTGAAACAAATAAAAATAAATACCTGTAATGATCATAAAATTGTCCATGAGCAAAATATTAGGAAAAATCATATTCCTATAGTCGTGGATCATCTTATGGGATGAGCCGAGAAAGTAGTTTTTATTGTTTACAACAATGTTTCCAAACTCGTAGGTGTGAAGTATGACCACCCAAATTGTCAAACAGGCCCGGTAGCCGTCCAAAGCCTTGAATTTACCATGCTGCGTTAAACTGAACATGGATGCGGCACTGGTTTTGGCCCAATAACATCTCGCTATAAACTCGATGAAAGTACCTTTGATTAAACGCCTGATGTATGAGTCGGGAGAGCAGCACATGATTATATTGCTCAACACAAACAGCACTACCAATGATGATATTCCTATTCTATTGGTATTATTATAGTTGAGAGAAATAAGTATAAAATTAAATACTTTCTTATGATTTATGAGATTATTTTTGTTATTACACTGAAATCTGTTGATACTTATTAAGTATAATTGGTTTATCCGCGTAATCACAATCGTCGTCCAAAATGATTGGTATGCGAATGATTGGATACATGACTGTCAATATAATGGATCAGATAATAGTGATCAATATCTACAACATTACAAGTAATAACATTTATAAATTATAATTCATACTTTGATTGAGAGCGTTGGACACATCCCGGGGTTGACAAGTGGTGGGCAAACAGAAACCGTTTATTAATTTCATATTATTAAAGAGTTGATTGTCGATAAACTCCATGGCATCCATCATATCATCGGTGGTCATCCGATAGAAGACTCGACGATAGTTCTCAAAGAACTGATTGAAGGCATTCTTGTAGTTAAATGTATCAGTTTTTGGCAGATTTTCACTTAACTTCTCGAAGTATTCTCTCGGAAAGGACTTCAACATCACATTATCTCTCAGATCAATACCGCAATACTGGCCACGGATTATGGGCTTATCGTCTTCTTCGGGACCCTCTATACCCATGCATTGGTCATAATTACCAAACGGCGGACCAGTCATGTCAACCATTCCTGATTGTAATCTAGGTTGAGCGTCCAAAACTTTTAAAATAAAGTATGTTATTTCAATTTTAGTATTAATTAACTACTAATTATGTATAGTACTGTATATGCTATGAAATATACATTTTATGGCCCAAACCTCTCCATTCCGGATACCAGTCATGATCCTCACTATCGACGCCATACACGTGCCGAGGTTCAGATATCAGTAGTCGTAAAGACTGTAGGATAATCAGTATGCAAATAATTTAAGTGAGTAAAAAAGCGACTATAAAACCGGTTTTCAGACTTCGGCAGCTTACCGTCGGTAACAGAGTATCATAGTTCCCATCGATCTCTTAATGTTAGCCTTTCCTTCTTCGTAGTCGTCGGGAATGAAGATATCGATGAACTTATTGAGCAACACATCATCGGAACAGTGGTCGCTGTCATCCGTCGTGTCATCCAAACCATCGTCCGATAGACTACTGTTTGATTGGTTGTCCACAGAGTAATCGTAATCATCGGATCCGTTGCCATAAGTTGTCTTATTAATAGAAAATACTACTAATAATGTTATAAACAAGTAATTAAATCTAATAATCATTATTATCAGAAAATTATAAATTATTTTTGCAAAATAAAATTCTCGTAAAATTATTTTTAAAATATATCAAATGAAAAATGAAACCATAAAACTAATTTTACACGACAAATATAGTGGACAATATTTTGTAATAATGAATGCAATACTTGTAACAACTATGTACGATAACCATGATAATATTATTCTCAAAAACGTATATGAGAATTATAATTAAAAATAGATTAAATATATTCCTAGATATACAAAAACAGAACACGTGAAATATAAAGTGTGCAACTAAATTAAACCCAATAAATAGTTTTTCATATTTATCGTCGTGAATTTTATTTTTGTAAGATTTAATTGCATTTTTAAGTACACTTTATAAGTGTTACAAATATAATTAAAATAATTGCTGACGTCTTGTGGAACATATAAAACCATTGAATTTAAAAAAGCAATAGATATTGTTTTCAATATGTGTGTATTATAGCAACTTGTGATGAACTGCTCAAAATGTTTTTAACTTTACAACTTATTAACGTGATCCAAATTTTCAACATGCTCACAGGTTAGATTAAATTCATAATTTATTACTTTGTATAAAGTTGTTTATTGTACAGCAAAATACCATCAATCCTATAAGAATTTACATTTAGCTACCTACAATTTACTTAAAATACACTAACATTAATTTTAATATTGATTAATTAATGTAATTTCAATAATTTAAATTTTATAATTTATTCAGTTTACAATTAATAAGCTTAATATATTTATAGGTACAAATGAATTGCAAAACATGTTAATTACATTAAACATTCAACAAGAAATATATTTTATTAATTCAAATATTCTAATTAAACATTAACATTGTTCAAATTAAGACATTTATATATGGAATTTTAACAAATAAATCTAAATAACAATCGAGTTAATATTATTATTTTAAATATTCAATACATAATCAACTTAAATTTATCAAAATTTTAACATAATTATAATCATTTATTACATCCTATAAACAACTTTCTCTGAATTATGGTGAATGACATTCAAATTGGCGATGTCTTCAACAGTCAGTATTGATAATCCATTTTTAGCATTATTTTCGGCCACAATATCGTTATTATGGGTATTCTTGGCGTCCAATCCCTCCTCATTGACCACTGCTTTGGGGACGCGTTGTGGCGGACGAAGCAATGCTGTGGTCATCGCCGCAAACGGACGGCTCACCAGAAATCCAGTGATCACTCCAATCACATAACTAAACACGAAGTCTGCCATCGCTGACGACCACTACATTTGTGTTATTATAAACAATATAAAAAATTTAGAAAATAATATTATAGTATTAATGAAATTATTCATACGATATAATATTCATTGTATGTCCGGTGCTCTCTTTGCATACCAATCCTATATACGAACACAAATGAGTGCATCTGTTTATTGTACAGTAAATGTAGTTAATTTAATTTTTATAACATAGATTATATCTTATGCCTTACAATATAGATTTCGAGCGACATGTTATCTACTATTTTAAACCCTTTCCAACCGAGTATTTCAGAAAAATAACCTAAAAACAAAATTTTGATTAATTAACTTAAAATTCAGTATTATTACAAACCTCCCCTTCCGGTACACGTGGCGTATATAAGCCATGCAAACCACGTTAGATATACGGGCTTATGAATGATTAAATAGAGAAGTTGTTCGCCCTCTGCGTATTGAAATCCAGGCATGATCATTTTTCGCTGCCAATACATGTGACCTAAAGTAATGCATGCGGTGCCAAACCATAGGATCAGATGACCAATAGTGCCGCCCAGATATACGTTGGGCCGATAGCGTACAGCGCAGGCCAATAGCATGCCTATAATGAATGTCTGAACATAATTGATCGGGCCCCAATAGTGTGTACTCCAGCCCAACATGATCTCTCTGGCGTTCGGGTGGCTCATTATTTCATAGACATGTATATGACCAAGCACAAATTTGTAAATCACAGGTATCGATATGGATACAAATAACAGGCCGATCACACAAAACACCCCTCTTTTGCCAAACCGGTGCAATAATATGAAAGCTATCGGTGCCATTGCATACAGTTGGAAGTCCATCGATGAGTACCTAGATTATTTTAATATGTTCTTGTATTTATGGTATGCATGTTATTGTAATTCTTGTTAACTACAAACCATGTTATTGTCATACACTATATGGAAATGAATAAACAAAAATTTAAACATAGTCTTATAAACCTCTTGATAATTATGAAATTATAATTTTTTTGGTATAACACAGACCTGAAGGGATGATAATATAGTTGTGTTTTCAGTTGGATAATAGAGTATATTATTGGTCATTATAAGAGGTTTATACCACTTATCATAGCAGGGCTCTACAAAATAAACAAGCACAACACTCCATAATGGACCTAGAACAAGAGGTAGACTTATAATAATAAACACGGTCATATAAAAACAGTTTGTAACGTTGTACCTGAGCCGAGAAATTGAAATATAAATGTGCAAAACAAGGCAAATAAGATTATTGGCAATAATCGCACGTATCTATAAAGTTATGTAAATTATAATAAACTATTAATTAACTTATTAAACATTGTTTATTTAGATAGTACCTGAATAGTAAATAATGAATAAAATTGAATCTGCCTTTACTTTGGTCCAATCTCGATATCATTGTATTGCATAATACAAACCCTATAATTGTGGTAAATTATAAATCAAAATATAACATGATTCGTGGAACGACTCACAAACTTGTACCATATTTTAATGTTAGAAATTTACTAAAACACCTGTATGGAAAATGACCAATATATAATCGGTCTCAAATAACTCTAAATACAGTAAACATAGTGTAAAAATGAGTGTTATTTTTTTGTCAGTCGTTTTATAAAGTAAATGTTAGTGAGTCGATGACGAATGAGCCGTATAACAATTAATACCTGTAATAATCATAAAATTGTCCATGAGCAAAATATTCGGGAAAATCATATTCCTATAGTCGTGAACCATCTTATAGGATGAGCCGAGAAAGTAGTTTTTGTTGTTCATCATGATATTGCCGAACTCGTAGGTGTGAAGTATGACCACCCAAATTGTCAAACAGGCCCGGTAGCCGTCCAATGCTTTAAATTTACCATGCTGCGTTAGACTGAACATGGATGCGGCACTGGTTTTGGCCCAATAGCATCTCGTTATAAACTCCATTGTTGTGCCTTTGATTGATCGCCTGATGTATGAGTCGGGAGAGCAGCACATGATTATATTGCTCACCACAAACAACACCACCAAAGATGATATCCCTATTCTATTGATGTCATTTAATAAAAACAATAAAAACACACATTAAAGTAACTGATTTACAGTTCATTAAGTAGTAAAATTGATTTTTTATATTTTATTTCAATTACACTGAGATCTGTTGATAAGTATTGAGTATAATTGGTTTGTCCGCGTAATCGCAATCCTCGTCCAAAGTGACTGGTATGCGAGTGATTGGATACATCACTGTTGACATCAAATAACAGATAATAGCAATCAATTTCATTGCAAACATAAGTGAATATACGAAATGTTTATAATCCATACCCTGATTGAGAGCGTGTGACACATCCCGGGGTCGACAAGTGGTGGGCAAACAGAAACCGTTCAATAATTTCATATTCTCGAAGAGTTGATTGTCAATGAACTCGACTCCACTCAACAGGTCTTCGGGAGTCATACGATAGAGAACTCGGCGATAGTTTTCAAAGAATTGATTAAAAAAATTCTTATAATTAAAAGAATCACTTTTTGGCAAATCTCGCCCAAAATTTTCTAAATATTCTCTCGGAATGGACTTTAATATCAGATTATCTCTGATATCAATACCGCAATATTGGCCTTTGATTATGGGTTTATCCTCTTCGTCGGGACCCTCTATACCAATGCATTGGTCATAATTACCAAACGGCAGACCAGTCATGTCAACCATTCCTGATTGTAATCTAGGTTGAGCGTCCAAAACTTTTTAAATAAAACATGTTATTTTTATTTTAATATTAATTAAATGCTAATTATGTAAAGTATATGCTATGAAACATACATTTTATGGCCCAAACCTCTCCATTCTGAATACCAGTCATGATCCGCACTAACGACGCCATACACGTGGGCTCCAAGTCTACAGTCATCAGCATTTCTGACATCCGATTAGTCATACGTTTATTAAATTCACTCATTTTTTCGCTGATATTTTGGCCAAAAGTCTGAAGCCGTCGAATGGCAGCCATTGTCTCCTTCATAGTTCCCATCGATCTCTTGATGTTAGCCTTTCCTTCTTCGTAGTCGTCGGGAATGAAGATATCGATGAACTTATTGAGTAACACATCATCGGAACAGTGGTCGCTGTCATCCGCCGTGTCATCCAAACCATCGTCCGATAAACTACTGTTTGATTGGTTGTCCACAGAGTATCCATAATCATCGGATCCGTTGCCATAAGTTGTCTTATTAATAGAAAATACTACTAATAATGTTATAAACAAGTAATTAAATCTAATAATCATTATTATCACAAATTAATAATCTATTTTTTTGCAAAATAAAATTGTAAAAAGCTTCTAAAATGAAAACTCAAAACTACTTTTTTGCGACAAATATATTGATTCGTGTTTAGCGGGGAATAGCCCGGTATTTTGAAATTACAGGTAATAGTGGACACTATTTTGTAATAATAGATGCAATACCTGTTTGATGATGATTTATGATGACAATTTTAATTTGAAACTTGTATATAACAGTTATAATCAAACATAGATTGAATAAAACAAATCAAAATACCCAAATATGTGAAATATAAAAATTAAATTAAACCCAATTAATAATTTGTCATATTTTTCCTCATAATTATTATTTTATTTTTGTAGCATTTAATGAACACTTGATGTTAAGTTACAAATATAAGTTATATTATAAAACTAAACCTATTGCTAAAGTTTTGCCGAAAATATAAAACCAAATAAATTTGTATAATGCTTTGATTAATGTGTATATTATATCGTGTAAACGCATAGATGTATATCTTGCTCAGTATTTTATCAATGTAACAACTTATCAACGTGATCCACAATTTCTACATGATTGGAGGTTTGATATGATTTATAATTTATTGGTTTGTTTTACATTTATTATACACATAAATACCATTAATATTTATAAGAACTTATCAATTAGTTATAACTTTATAATTTTATAAGTTTTTATTAAAAAAATTAATTTCTATATTAGCACTGATATTAGTTTCATAAGTATATTGTTACACTTAATAAATTGAGAATATTCTTACAATACAGGCTTGAAAAGATATCTCAAATTCAGATCGTGCCAATGGGCACAGACACCCGAGATGTGTCCAAATTCATTGGTCTCTATGCATTAAGTGGTGGTTCATATGTAATTTTATTTACCAAAAAGAAATATATTTTTTTAAGTCCTGTATAAATAAGTAAAAATGTGACCATAACTCTAGTTTTTGTGGCCATTGACACGATCTGAATTTGAAATATCCATCCCGTGGTCACACACTCTACACATACCAAACCAAACCAGTGAGAAAATACCATTTATACATTTCTCTGCTTCAATAAAAATGTGAATTACAATAATTTCAATTAAATGAGAGATTAAACAATTAATATATTTTATTGATAAAAATATCATAATTAAAAATTTAGTTTAAATTATGACATATTCCATATTTATGAAATTCAAACAAATAAATCTAAATTAACACTGTTAATTATTATTATTATCACATAAAAATTTCAACACAAATTTACTTAAATTTCAACATAATTTTAAATATTGTTTATTACATCCTATAAACAACTTTCTCTGAATTATGGTGAATGACATTCAAATTGGCGATGTCTTCAACAGTCAGTATTGATAATATATTTTTAGTATTATTTTCGGCCACAATATCGTTATTATGGGTATTCTTGGCGTCCAATCCCTCCTCATTGACCACTGCTTTGGGAACGCGTTGTGGCGGACGAAGCAATGCTGTGGTCATCGCCGCAAACGGACGGCTCACTAGAAAACCAGTGATCACTCCCAATATATAACTGAATACAAAGTCGGCCATCGATGACGACCACTATATTTGTATTATTAGTAAATAATATAATGATTTAGTTAAATGATTGTGGTAATAATGATATTATGCATACAATATAATATTCATTGTATGTCCGGTGCTCTCTTTGCATACCAATCCTATAGACAAACACAAACACATGCATCTGTTTGATGAAGAACGGATCTAGTTAGTTTAATCGTAATAAACTATAAATTAAGCTATAAATAATTGTTACTCACAATATAGATCTCGAGCGACATGTTATCCACTATTTTAAACCCTTTCCAACCGAGTATTTCAGTAAAATACCCTAAAAATAAATTTAATGAATTAATTGTTAAATCATTGCTAATCGATACAAACCTCCCCTTCCTGTGGAAGTGGCGTATATAAGCCATGCAAACCACGCGAGATATACGGGCTTATGAATGATTAAATAGAGAAGCTGTTCGCCCTCTGCGTATTGAAATCCAGGCATGATCATTCTTCGCTGCCAATACATGTGACCCAAAGTAATACATGCGGTGCCAAACCATAGGATCAGATGACCAATAGTGCCGCCCAGATATATATCGGGTCGATATCGAACAGCGCAGGATAATAACATGCCTATAATGAATGTCTGAACATAATTGATCGGGCCCCAATAGTGTGTTTTCCAGCCCAACATGATCTCCCGAGCGTTTGTATGGCTAATTATCTCGTACACATGTATATGACCCATCACAAATTTGTAAAATACTGGTAGTCCGATTGCTACAAGTAATAGGCCGATTACCATATACACCCCTCGCCTGCCGTATCGGTACAACAATATAAAAGCTATCGGTGCCATTGCATACAGTTGGAAGTCCATTGATGAGTACCTAGATCATATTAATCATTTTTTTTGTACTTATACATAACATTATATAATTTGTTGTTGTTTTTAAATACAAACCATGTTATTGTCATACACTGTATGGAAACGAAGGAATTAACAAAAATTTAAAAATAGTTTTATGAAATATAGTTAAGAATAATAACAGACCTGAACTGATGATAATATAGTTGTGTTTTCGTTTGGATAATAGAGTATATTATTGGTCATTGTAAGAGGTTTATACCACTTATCATAGCACGGCTCTACAAAATAAACAAGCATAACACTCCATAATGGACCTAGATAATGAATTATATTGATTAATTATTGGTTATAGTACTACCGGTTATAGTAAAATAGAGCAAGATAGAAACAAGTATGGTTTTTAATTAGGGCATTATTTGGCAATAATAATTGCAATATCAATATTAGACTTTTATAATGCATTCAAGTGTTATATTATGATGAGTACACTAATTGTATTTTACCAAAGAGTTATTTTCATCTAGCTCTATACAATACAATATTTTATAAAACAAAATAATTATAAAGTTACCTGAGCCAGTATATGGAAATATAAATGTACAAAACAAAGCAAATACCATAATTGGCAACAATCGCACGTATCTTATAAAATTGAAAAAATTAAATGATTTAGTTTAAATATTATAAATTAGTTATTTTGCTAATCAATTTATTAATCATGGTTTAATTAGTTAATACCTGGATAGTAAATAAAGTATATAATTAAAACTGCCTTTAGTTTGTTGAAGACTTTTCATCATTGTATTGCATAATACAAATCCTATGATTTTAGTAAATTATGCATTAAATAAAATATACACTTTGAAATAAGAACCTGTAATAATCATAAAATTGTCCATGAGCAAAATATTGGGAAATATCATATTCCTATAGTCGTGAATCATCTTATAGGATGAGCCAAGAAAGTAGTTTTTGTTGTTCATCATGATATTGCCGAACTCGTAGGTGTGAAGTATGACCACCCAAATTGTTAGACAGGCCCGGTAGCCGTCCAAAGCCTTAAATTTACCATGCTGCTTCATATTAAATATAGACGCGGCGCTAGTTTTAACCCAATAATATCTCGCTATAAACTCGATGAAAGTGCCTTTGATTACACGCCTGGTGTATGAGTCGGAAGAGCAGCACATGATTATATTGCTCACCACAAACAACACCACCAAAGATAATATCCCTATTCTATTGGTATAATTTTATATTTAAAAAATTTGTTAAATTTTTTTTGTGTTTTATTGCCATTACATTGAGATTTGTTCATAACTATTGAGTTTAATTGGTTTATCCGCGTACTCGCAATCGTCGCTCAAAGTGATTGGTATGCGAGTGATTGGATACATGACTGTCAATATAAATGGATCAGATAATAGTGATCAATATATACAACATTACAAGTAATATAAAATTGTTTATAATTCATACTCTGATTGAGAGCGAGAGACACATCCCGGGGTCGACAAGTGGTGGGCAAACAGAAACCGTTTAGTATTTTCATATTTTGGAAAAGTTGATTATCGATAAACTCGAGTCCACTGATCATATCATCGGCGGTCATCCGATAGAAGACTCGTCGATAGTTCGCAAAGAATTGATTGAAAAAATTCTTGTAATTAAAAGTATCAGTTTTTGGCAGATTTTGCTTCAAATTGTCCACATATTCTCTCGGGAGGGACATTACAATCAGATTATCTCTCACATCAATACCGCAATACTGGCCCCGAATTTTGGGCTTATCGTCTTCGTCGGGACCCTCTATACCCATGCATTGGTCGTAATTACCGAACGGAAAACCAGTCATATCAACCATTCCTGACTGGAGTCGGGGCTGAGCGTCAAAAACTTTCCAATTGAAACATGTTATTTTTATTTTTACATTATTTTCATGCTATGAAACATACATTTCATGGCCCAAACCTCTCCATTACGGACACCAGTCATGATCCGCATTATCGACGCCATACACGTGGGCTCCAAGTTTATAGTCATCAGCATTTCTGACATCCGATTAGTCATACGTTTATTAAATTCACTCATTTTTTCGCTGATATTTTGTCCCAAAGTCTGGAGCCGTCGAATGGCAGCCATTGTCTCATTCATAGTTCCCATCGATCTCTTGATATTAGCCTTTCCTTCTTCGTAATCGTCGGGAATGAAGATATCGATGAACTTATTGAGCAACACATCATCGGAACAGTGGTCGCTGTCATCCGTCGTGTCATCCAAACCATCGTCCGATAGACTACTGTTTGATTCGTTGCCTAAAGAATAGTCGTAATCATCGGATCCGTTGCCATAAGTTGTTTTATTAATAGAAAATACTACTAATAATGTTATAAAAAAGTAATTTAATCTAATAATCATAGTTTTGCAACAATTAGTAAACTATTTTTAAAAAATATATTTAGTAAAGGGTTACTCAGTAATCAAATAGACCTTTATAAAATAGTTTTACTTTATACAATTACTTTACTCGACAAATACATATATATTGAGTTATGTTTGACAGGGAAAAGCCCTTCAATTTGACGATTATTTTGAAGTGAGTGTTAAAGTAAGTATTATTTTGTAATAATTAATGGAATATTTTTATTATAATTATGGTAATTATTATGTGAAAAGCAAATACTGTACTGTAGTTTTAATTCAGAATATATTAACTTTTGTTAAACTTTTCAAAAAACCAAATAAAATTAATAAAAATATATAAATTTTTTATATATTGTTTTATAATTTTATGTGCATTTCATTTACAAGTTAGTTCCTAAGATTCCCAATAATTATAAGTAATTTGTATAATTAATTGCATAATTTATATAATCCTGATAAATAAAAAGATTATTATGTTTACAATTAGATCTAATTTAAAGTTTAATTTTTACAAACAATCAAAACTTATAATTGTTTTCAAAACTTGATTATTTTTATGTATACTGTTATTCACTTGAATTTACATTTAATTGAATAAATTGACCATATAACTAGAGCAGAGATTTTTCGGGACTAAAAATTACCAAATTCGGTCGGGAACCGGGAGTAAAACAGTCAAATTCGGGAATACTCGGGAGTTAACGTTTATTCAGTTCAAGCACAATAATTATAGATTTAAATCACTTCAAAATGAATTATAGTAAATAGAATGACATCGAAATTAAAGTTTTACTCTTGAAGTCTGTCTTTTATTTGTAAAATTATTCTTAAATTGGAAGAAAATTCATTCAACATGGTCAAACTCATTTGGTGTATATTTTGTTAGACATCTTATCTCAAAATTCTTTGGATTTTTATAGTAATATTTTTAGTTTTTCTTGAAAAAGAGTGTGTTTTAGTCTATTTTAAATAAAAATTTTGATATTTTCCCCCTAAAATATGTCAAAATCGGGAATATTTTCAAAATAGGCTAAAATCGGGAATATTCTGAAAATATGCCAAAATCGGGAGTATTCGGGAAAGTAAAAATGGTATATATTTACTCCATTATAACCTCCAAAACCAACTGGATGTTATTCCCGAACATTCTATTAACTAATTTTATTCGGGAATTCCCGAATTATCTCTGCTCTACATATAACTAATTTGTACATTTATTAATGATTAAGTTGAATATATTTTGATTAAAAATTATAATTTAATACCGTATTAATAATACGATTTATAAAAATAAATAAGTTTTAAACACAAATACAAAAATATACTGTAATAACAGTAAAATAAATAGATTTTAAAATTATTATTAGGTAAAAGTGTATGATTAAATTATGCTGTAAAACACAATTAATAAATTATTATAATTTATCTACTTTTATTAATTCTAACCCAATATTTACATTGAAGTTATTACTCAAAAATAAATGTATCATGAATGTAATGCAAGACATTTCAATATGATTTTAAGTACATTAATCAATGATAAATGATCATGTTAGTTCTCAACATGATGTATTTTGTTAATACAGATGTAGAAATCAACTAACAAAGCCTTTGACAAAAACTACTGGAATGCATATGAACTGTACGTTTAGCTCAACCTTTTAATAAGTGATTAGCATTTTTTAATCACATTTCTCTAAACAATAGGCATTAACACAAAAACTGAGATATTTTTAGGCGAAAAACTCAATATCTATGTATTGAGTGAAGTATTGAGTTAACAATTGGTTCCCTATTTAGTGGTCGGCCCTAAGAAACAGTTGTTCGCAGTTATGGATCAATTAATGCCCAAAAGGGAGTCAATCCATAGATTTGATAACCATTTGGTCGAAGCGGTGTTCAGTTATCTGCCACTCGAAGACCGGTTCCGCTTTGAATGTCTTTGCAAACGGTTCCGGAAGTTAATGTACGCGACGGTAACCGACATCCGTATCGACCACAAAATGCTGACCAAATTGTTTGACGCAAACATTAATGCCGACAATTACTGCCAATCGCGGCGTTTATCACAACTGATGACCAAATGCCCAAACATTACACGTGCGGACACATCACGTGTTGAGAAATACCTCGATCTATTGGCTCTGTTCTCAGCGATGGACACATTAAAGCCCGAGAGAGCGCCCAAACTGCGGGACATTTACTGCAACTTCAGCGCAAACTACAGCCGAGACTACGACCGACAGGACAAGAATCTATTCAAAACGTGCGGCCATTTGATCACCAAATTGGACCTGATTTACGATTACCAACACTATTACGGGCCGTACGTCATGTTTAACGCCGCACTACTGGCCTCTTGTGACCGACTCTCTGACCTGAAAGTGGCCGTACCGTTGGCCGATGTGTTTAGCCATAGTCATTTACTCGGCTTTTGCTCGACCCTGGTCGCTTTTGAGTTTAACTACAACAATGGCGTCACGTCTAACAAACTGTTTGAAACAGTTGTCGCACACATGCCTTCGTTGAAATCGTTGACAGTAAACGATATAAATCAAAAGGTTGGCCGCAAGGGATCTGTGATCGCATTTATCGCTCAATTGACACATTTATGTGAACTCCGGTCGCTTTCCCTGTATTTCGTCGCCTATTCACACATCACCTACTCTTTGACCGACTCTTTGCGCAAATTAGGTCTCAAACTGAACCGATTGACACGATTTGCCCTCAGGTTTACCTCAAATTCGCCGACGTTTAACGTAAACGCCTTCAAAGCAATGGAAGTGTTTCGGCGATTGAAATACTTGGACCTAACGGTGCATTTGGCCGGCGGTGTCCGCCCGCTCTCCGTTTGGCATCGATTAGATTCAATGCAATGTTTGCCACGATTGAGACATTTGTCGCTTGATTTATGGCAAATACCCAATGAATTGGTTGAGAGGATTGTCAGCATTTGGCCGAAACTGCAAGTTCTGGAGATCCGGGAACCGCACCACAACGTGTTAAATGTGTTTAATTTAGAGTCGATCTCAAAGTTACCAAAATTGCGCACATTTTTGGTGAAGAAGGCCTCGGGTTTTGTTGTCATAAACTGCAAGTTCTGGAGATCCGGGAACCGCACCACAACGTGTTAAATGTGTTTAATTTAGAGTCGATCTCAAAGTTACCAAAATTGCGCACATTTTTGGTGAAGAAGGCCTCGGGTTTTGTTGTCAAACAATCGGATCTCAAGGATATGTTTACTAAAAGTGATAGATTAAAGTCCGTTGAAATCAATAGTAAAGACAACACTTATATTCAACACAAATGCTAAATATTAATCTGTTGTTATCCGTACGTATAATTAGGTATTATATAATCTGATTTATTTGCTATAAATTGGTGTATTTAAAAAATGCTAATTTAATTATGGATTGAAAATTATGTTTATTAATAAGTGATAATTATTTAATTAAAATAAATGTAATTATTGTTTATGAATTAATATAAATAAAATAAAAATATCAATAATATTTAATGATCATGTTAATTTTATGATAGCAAAAATTATTAAGTTTTTATTTGAATATTTATTGAATCAGCATAATTCTAGTTTAAGGTTTAGCTGTTACAGGTAATTTATCATATTTATCCTCATAATTTTTGTTTATTTTTATATTTTTAATTGGATTTTACCCACACTTTCCATGATTGCAAAGATAATCATATTATAAACATTATAAATATTATAATTATAAACATATTATGTTTTATTGCTTAAGTTTTACACAAAGTGTAAAAACCATAAAAGTACTTAAACTACAAAAGTAAAAAGTATTAACATTTTACTTTACATACCTCATAGACTAGACTTATGTTTTATTTATATGTTTTTTTAATATAATCTGGAATTAAATTTACAAAAATGAATATTTACTCAAATTTTTGTATAATTTTATTTGTGATTATTTATGTTAATTCAACGGAGGTATCGGAAAAATGTTCACTCAATAAACTAATGGATAAAATGTTTGAGTCGTTGACTCCCGAAGACTGGGAACAGGAGAAGAACCGATCGGTGATCTATCAAAGAGTGGATCACATCAACCAAACCATTGATAAGATTAATCGTATCAACAATTATACCAAAAATGTTAGCCATATATACGATCCGATAGTTCAACGATTGAGATCGCGATTAAGTGAAGTATTGATGGAAATTGATTTACCAAATGATTGCATGAGATCTATGGTTAGGATCGCTTCCGGGATCAGAGATAATAAACGGTGGGCTCTTCAGTGTAAGACATAGTTTGCAGATTTTATTGTTATTTATTTTATGCTAAATTTCCGGTACATTATGATTTTTTAATTGCATATTAATGCAGTACATAAAATATAATACATAAAAAAATATGACAGTAGTAGAACACATTTAAATATTACTTAATATTTTAAACCATTACTTTCCTGTTTATATGATAATTTTAAATTAAGTGTTTTTACAGTAAAAATATTATTTTATTTTTAGCCACCTTATCATAATTATAATCTAAATAAATAAATTTTAATTATTTGTTCCCTAACTATCAATTTACATAATTAAAACTTTTTCTTTTAAGTATTATTATTTATATAAAAATATAAATATAACAATTAATATAATGTAAAATACAATTAAAACTACTAAATTTAAATATAATATAATTTCTAGTCGTGAACACCGTTCCGATGCTCACATCGGGTCTCATGTATCACATTCAGCCGCCCATCGGTTATGACGAGTGTCTGGCTTTTGAAAGTCCGGAATCTGATTTACCAAAAATCACGGGAAAGTACTGTTGGATGGGTTCGCCGGACATACCGTTTGACAAACACACGTACGACCAGTTAGACCGCGAAGTGAACATAGATGGTTTTAATAAACGCATCAAGCTAGATGCAGAGAAAGAGTACACAAACAAATACAATCAAACCACGAGGTGGTCTGACTTTTACTTTACCCGCGAGTATAT